ATATCTCTGATGGTAGTGGTTGTCATAACATGAACCATGTCAGCGGCCGAAAGGCAGTTCATGAGAGAACACTAACACCAGGGTTTGCTTGGTAGGTAAACTAAGCAGCCCACACTATAACAAGTAGGTATTTTGACCTTCTAGTTCAGAAATATTTTAGTACTAGGCAGAATAGCTTTTATGCATATTAGACTAAAATAAAAACGTGGGGCCCCTCTGAAATCATACCTATAGCAGAGCATATCTTATACTTTGGTAGATCATGAGCTCGACGTTCGCTGGTGAAGCCGTAACGGCTGGTTATTGATGGTCAAAACCTCCAGTTACGATTATAGTAAGTCGATTCAGCGGACCCTGGACTCCGGAGCTATGAGGTTTCGGATGCGACCGGGATAAACCGCTAGGATGATGATGATGACGATTATAATAAGTCGATGCAATCCACACTTAGTATAGTAGAAAGTAATACAGAAATAGTTAATGGGCCCCACGTTTTTATTTTAGTCTAATATGCCTAAAAGCTATTCTGCCTAGTACTAAAATATTTCTGAACTAGAAGGCTGTTGTTCCGCCAGCGTATACCGATTGCGCAACAGCAGGCCATTCCATTAACATCTACCAAAAAAAAATTGTTTTTCTCTTTTAATAATTTTAATATGTTTATAAAAAAAAGTCAAGGCCTAAGGTTACGGTACGCCTGATGGTATACTGCCATGGAAATCTATTAAATATATTACTTACGCGCTGTCAAATCCCGTGACATAAGAATTTTGAGCCACGTTTCAATATAATGTTGCTATCTCTATGTATACATATATTAATAATATATATCAATAAGTAGAAATATGTGTATTTTTTATGATGGTTGAAAATGGTATGGTAACCCCGCCTGCGCTAACGGGATACGCTGACGGAGCACCAGTGAAGGGTGATAGATGAGAATGAAACAGGCCAGTTAGCCCATCCTGATAAATTCATCAGGAATTGACCATGATAGTTCCCAGGGGGAACCGCGAGGAGGTCGACCTGTTTGGCTATAATGCTAGCAATGGGATTCTCAGTCTCCATTACTAACAATCCCTTTCCTCCGAAATATGTGTATTGCCGAGTCGGTCCCGGCATAGAATAGGCCACCCCTTCCTTCTCCGTGGGTGTCTTAAGAGGCGACTAAAGTAACTTAATGGTAGAGGGATGGGCAGTACCGTCATTATTAGAACATCACCAAAAATCTAACTGCGATTACCAATCCGCCTGCCAAGCGTGGCAACTACTGATAAATCTCCTGTTATGGGGAGGCCTATTTTCAGTAGTAGATAGTTAACGGGTGATGTAATGATGATGATGATGTTGAAAAAAATATATTTATAAATGTACATTATTGTATGTATTATACATTACATGTACTAAAAATTGTACAGAATTTTTGTCATGCCTCCGATCAAACTGTTTATAATTACTCCTCTCCATCCAAAGGTTGCCTGGAAGAGATCGCTTCTAGCGATAAGGTCGCCCATTTTTTTCTCATTGTGATTATTTCTTGTAATTGTTTATATTTATAATAAATTTACTATTGTAATCTTTTGGAGGAAACAATAAAGAGTATCTATCTATCTATTTATCCATGTCTTTAGTCAACTGCAATCCGACTTCCGTCATAATTCAGAATTTATCTTGCCAAGACACGCGCATTTCTGTTCCCTAATAACCTATAATATATACTGTAATAATATAAACAGCATAATATATACAAATGAGCCCATTCCAGCGGCATATACACAAAATCATTACGGGAGACATTTTCTCGAAAATACACAAACGTCGTGAAGCAATTTTCATTCCGTATGTATTCAGCTTACTACCTAACTAAACAATTTATATACGAAACGTAAAGACTGGCACACATTTCGTTTTATGTGGCGCAAAACTGGTACGTGCTCTTAAATAAGTAGTAAAGTTTGAAAACGCTGAAATGTACTGCACCTAATCTTAGGCAATGAAGTTTTGAAATAATTGTAAATTTTATCGAATGACAAATTCATTGTTTTACAATCGTTAGTATTGCAAAAAAATATTACTTAAGCTACAGATATGTTCAGTTATAAGGCAAACTTAATGGATAAGAGATGAATGGTCGTGTCCTTCTTAAATAACACCAAAACCTAACTGCGCTTGCTAATCCACCTGTCGCTTATAGACATGAACAGTACCATGGACATAACAGAGTATATTGTTTCGCCCATAATACCCCCTATGCGTTGCCATTCATGGTCATTATTTAATCGTACATAGTGGTCAGAGATATATATATATATATATATATATATATATATATATATATATATATATATATATATATATATATATATATATATATATATATATATATATATATATATATATATATATATATATATATATATATTTAATTTCGATATTATATGATAATAGATATTTAACATATTCGTCATAGGACCAATATATAGGTATCATAATCAAAATATATAGATATTCTTATATTATGTATTACTCACCCCTACTTCCCAAATTTCTTTAGGTAATATTTAGGTAATAATGGAATGAATACTATACAGTCGCGGTATGAATAATGAAAACGTAGAGTGGTGTGTCAGAAAAGGCTGGAATGCTATTCCATCACAGGCAGCAGCTTTTTGTACGTACATTTGGTAAGTATATATAGTGCCAATGTCATCATATACATACTAGCGACCCGCTCCGACTTCGCACAAATGCGAGATTTCGACAACAGCTGCTGATGATGAAGATCTGTTGTCTGTCTACTGCTGAACATAACATTTATTGGAATAAAAATTATCCTATCTCTCAAGTTTTACCAGAGGGAGACTTTGTACAAAAGTCGATTGCTTGGGTACCTCTGTCCCATTCAGTTGTATTTGCATGGCTCTGTTTCGGTTTGAGGGGGTGGGATATGGCAGTGAATTTACTGAGTACGGAGGCAAACAAGCTGACGGCCCACCTGATGTAAAGTGGTAAACGTCGCCTATAGGCATGAGCAGTAACATGGACATAACAGAGTATACTGTTCCGCCCATGCGTTGCCATTCCTGAGGATTCAGGTGTTATTCCTCTGTACCCTGTAAATTCATATCCCACCCTAAAGTACTTACGTAATGTAAGTACTTTATATTATTCCCAATTTCGTGTACAATATAGTATACGTATGTTATATATGTGTAAGTATATTTGTTATTTATATATATTTATTCGTTTATATATGTAATTTGAGTATGTACTGTGAGAGAATGATTTTAGCATTAAGTCCGCCATGTACACATATATGTAGTAATGAATAAATAAATAAAAATAAATAAATAACGCGTATATTGTACATTCTATTAGACATAACGCCATGAAATGATTTAATGTAGCTTGTAGCAGGTAGACTATATGTAGGTAGGTATACATGTATATACATATATATATGTAATTAACCTGTAATTTATTTATTTATTCAATAGAACTTAATATAGAGGTAATCAAGTTTGTTGAAATTATCATAGAAATACTCTCCAAATGAATTTAGCTGGAAATCGAAACATTGAATCAAATTAATTAATTTATTGGACATGAGCAGACTGTCTCGTGAGACAGTCGACACTTTTATTAGCGTCCTTCTTAAAACATTACCAAAAGCCTACCTGCGGTTGCCAATCCGCCTGCCAAGCGTGGCAACTACTGACAAAACCTCCCTTAAGAGGAAGGCCTATTTTATAAGAAGGATTATTACATTTTGAAAAATTAATATTCCAGGAATCAATCCGTTTAAGATTAATTTTTTTCCTTAGAATTTTTTAGAAATTTCGTAGAATTTTTTAAAGTTACAGCTCACGCCCGTATCGTTCAGGTCGTATATATATATATATCAGATATATATATACACTTTATTTTTATTATTCCAGACGGTGTCATTTATAAATGTCAAACGGGAAAACTAAAAGGAAATAGATCATTTTTAATAAAACATCCACTGTAATATTTTTCTTATAAAACAAGCTCGTAATCTGATACTGTCGTTTATACTACTTAGAATGGTAAACAAGCTGACGGCCCACTTGATGGAAAGTGGTAACCGTCGCCTATAGACATGAGCAGTACCATGGACATAACAGAGTATACTACATATTTCGCCCATGATAGCCCCCATGCGTTGCCATTCCTGAGGACTCAGGTGTTATTTCTCCGTACCCTGTAAATTCACGCCATATCCCACCCTTCAAACCGAAACACAGCCATGCAAACACAACTGCTTCACGGTTGAAACACGAATGGGACAGAGGGACCCAAGCAATTGACTTTTGTACAAAGTCTCCCTCTGGTACTACTAACTAAACCCTCCATAGGGGAGACTTATATTAATTTGTCAGTTAAATCCTGTTGTGATGATAAACAGATTTGCAAAATTATCGTTTTTTTACTTACAAATTGCTTTTCTATGATGACTTCAAATGCTCTCCCCCGTTATACACTCTACATCTGTGAAGACTATCAAATTAACAATTTAAAATACAACCAAGTATTTGTAACAAGAGCAAATAATCTAAATGAATTGTGTACATTTATAATGAGGATTTACCTTCATAATGTCTACATACTATATCATTTGTACCCTTAATGCCGGTAAATCTCATAATGAAATAAATCCATATTTATCGTCCTTCACATATATTGTACTCTTTAAATAGCCAGCACATTAGTCAGGAACAATACACGATGATATAACCAAGCATGTTAATATTCTAAAGGCTTCAGAAGCTTACCTCAACGTCGCACACGAATTACTATATCCGTATGTCCACGAAATGTTATATAAGTCAAATATCGCCAAACTTTACACATCACAAAATTGAACTTTATCATGTAAGCAATAAAGTCCCGGTTGCATACGATTGGAGTTTTAAACCAGTAAACCGGGATCTCGGGGATGCTACAAGCTCCTAGCGAAATTCAGTGCGTTTCGAAACTCGGGCTGTATTGACGTGAGTGGCTTTGCCCGTAGCAAGTTTCCCCACGTTCGTGTTTAAATACGAAAGTTGACGTTCGCGATTGAATTTTCGCGCGTTTTTTTTTTTTTTTTGTAAAAGGAATAAATAATTTTGTGATATTTTTTTTTATGATGTTATTATTAAATTTGTTTTCGTTTGTTGTTTGGAGCGAAATGTGAATTCTGTTGGCTCTTTGAGTTAATTCCGGTAAGTTTGTTTCTACATTTATTTAATTTATAACTAATAATAATTACGTTTTATTTAGATATATTAATATATTGTATCTATTGTATTTAATTGTAAGATCCATTATTGAATCTAGCATTTTTATAGAAGAGTTCTGGAATGCATAAGTTTTATTTTATTGGTATTTCAAAGCATTTTTATTGCAACTATGTATTCCTTATTTAGGATAATTAATTAATTCCAGTTTATTTATTATTTTATTTCTTATTTTCCCTTTAAATTTAACTTTGCTGGTTACTCTGTTTGATACATAGACTGTTTTATTTGCTCATTTAATACAGTTAATTATTTGTTATAATAATATATGTATATATTTATTTATTTATGTATATATATATATATATATATATATATATATATATATATATATATTTATTAATTTAACCTATATGTGTATGTATTATATAAGTCTAATTATATGTTTATAATATATTAAGTATTACTATTATATATATTATATTATTATTAAGTATTTCTCGGTTTGCCCAATGGTTGACTGGTGGAGAACACCGCCCGATGTTAAATCCGCCATATGTACATAGAATTTCACTGTGCATTAAAAATAAATAAAATAATTAAATTAATAACTGTGTCCACGTCTTAATAATATATAATATAATGATAAATAATTCAAACACTACTTTCTTATCCACATTATATTTTTTCTACTTTCTTTTTCTGTTTATAAATAATATTAAAATATAAACGAAATAAAATCTATTGAGCAAATCATGAGGGCTAAATTTCTTCACTGCATAAAATCGTATAGAATTATATAGGATAGGACAAATACTGACTAATGACAAAGGACTAGGACAAAGGGTGATGATGATGATGATGATGAATATTATGTAAATATGTTTACAGTAGAATCCGCTAGATGGTGTTAATATTGAATTATAAATAAAACTACCATGAGTATCTGTTCCAATCAAAAAGGAATATTTGCTGCCTTATATAATATATATACCATACATACTTTTTTTTAAGTAATAATAAATTTATTTCAAAATAAATGTTACAAACATCTTTAAACATAGGTGAAACCCTGCTCCTTAGGTAGGTAAATCCTGTACTTTAGGATAAGCAGTGATCTTCCCTACACGGCATAATGACACAATATACGAGTATATATAAAAAAAAGAAACGGTAAAATTTAAGGTACAAATAAAATATAATAGGTAAAATACAATAATATAATTTGTCCAAATAATATTTTCTAGGTGAATCTTGACTGTTTAATTTGTGAGTGTATGGAATGGATGAGTTATTGTAAAATGGCAGTCACAACCTAGTATACTTGTGCCCGCAATAACACCCTTATAACGTCCTTTATAAAATTTGACACAAACTAATATATTTGTGTCAAATTTTATAAAGATTGTTTGTCGCTAAGGTGTAAAAAGGTAACTAAAATCTTGCCTCTTTATCTTGCTTTTATATAATTATGTTTATGTTATTTTAAATTCATTTTGTTTGTGTGCATATTGTTAATCTTTGTAATCTGAATCATTCTTCGAAGGGAACAATGAAGAGTTTTCATTCATTCATTCATTAAAACCCATTTTTAACTGAAAAAAGGACGAGGTTATATGTTCTACTGTATATTTATATATTTACAATATTTTAGTAGAAATATAATATTAGTGAGGATATGAACTGTTAATGAACAAATTTTGGTCATTTCATTTATTTATTTATTCTTTATTGACCACTTGCAGACTTAATACTATATAGCATTCTCTCTCAGTCCACCTTTAGAAAAAAAGAAATGTGATTATGCGATGAAAAATATTGAAAATTGTCCATCTGCCCTTACCTGCCTGCCGCTCCCCTAGATTAGTCCCTGGTCGCGGACATAACTGGTATGTATCAAAAAGGCAAATTTATAAAGACAAGAACAAATTTTCCTGAGTCAATTAATTCAGAGAAAAAAAAAACTTTATCGGTAGAAAAAAAAAAATGTTTAAAGAAAAAGTAAATTCCGAAAGTGTTCCTTGAATTTAATACAATTTTCTCATTTACGCATATAACTGACTTTAGAAGATTAATAGCGGACGTATAAAAACTTGTACATTACTGTTATACGAATTTCGACTTTATACCGCAGAAAATACGTTTCAAGTATTGTACACGCAGTCTAAATTGTCTAACATAGAAAATTATATGCAAATTAATATTATGTGAAGCTGAAATTTTAATTGGTACTGGCTTTCGTTATAATTTATAATATTTGAACTTCAAGACGTAATTTTACAATAGCTCTTACAAATTTCATGTATTTTGACTTCAAACAATTATAAAATGTTATGTTATGTCTTGATTAACATGTTTATGTAACTAGTCTGGCCATAAAACACTTTTCTTATTTTGAATTTTTAATTCTTAAATATTTTGAATTTGGAACACGTTTATTATTTTAAAAACTTCTTTTGATTTCGCGCCTTTTTACATATATTTTCATATTTGTCATTAAATATAAATAATGGGGTGTTAAAGACAATAGGGTTGCAATTTTCGCCTTGCACAAAGTGGGTATGGAGCCATCGCGCCGTCGGTCATATTCCAGACACTTCAAAAGCTTGATGACAGCAGTATGTTCATATATCGTACTATTAAATAGATACAACAACAATTCCTCTGTCGAAAACCAGAAAATATTGTGGCGACCACGTGCTGTTAGAACTACAAAGGCTGTTAATGTTGTTAAAGCCAGAATTCGTCGAAACCCCATTAGGAAGCATAAAATCTTATCGCGAGAAATGAAGATTCCCGCTGGGACTCTGACGCATATTATAAAACAAGACCTGAAGCTCGGTATTTATCGTGGATATACAGGACATGCCTTAAATCAATCTTTACAATTAAAGAGAGCGGATTGATCAAAACGCCTTCTGTCGCAATACGCAGGTGAAAGGCACAGAAATATCCTCTTTATCGATGAAAAATTTTTCACGATTGAATAACGTGTTAAATTCCAAGTATATATATATATATATATGTGTGTGTGTGTGTATGTATATGTATATATGTTTATAATAGTAATGTATTTAGTAGGGAGTCTATATAAAAATCAACTTCCTAATCCACTGATTTCCTGACTAAGGGATAACCGAACCTTCCACTCAGAACTGCTATCACATCAAATTATGTGATAAGATTTATGGGTACAACTTGCAAGATGGATAAGCCTCTTCAAGTCCCATTCACGGGCTACTAACTTCTGAATACTGCCTATCTCCCACGGATAATAAAGCCGTGAAGTTATAAAACCTTAATTCCTTCAACTGTGAAGTATCATCCTTCCATTCTTGTTTTTATTGCGGTAATAATCTTAAAATTCAAGGGGTGTGAAAATATAGTCCAATGTCGCAATTTGCATCGTTGAGTCCATTATAAAAATATTTTACATACATATCATACATATCTGTCACGCCTGTCTCCCATTAGGGTAGGCAGAAACAATGGAACGCCAAATGCTTCGATTCAAACATTCAAAATATTTTGTTACTAGCCGTATTCCGTGACGATGAACATCATCATCATTTCAACCATTATCCGTCCACTGCTGGACATAGGCCTCCCCCATAGACTGCCATAAAGAACGATCCTGAGCCACTTGCATCTACTGACTCCCTGTAATGCATTTGAGGTCGCCACTTCATTAGTGGGATGTCGTCCTACACTGCGGTTTCCCATATGGGGTTACCACTAGAGAACCTTTCTTCCCCATTGGTTGTCAGTTCTTCGAGCCATACCAGCCCATTGTCACTTCAGGTTGCTTATCTATTTGAGCTATGTCGGTTACCTTGGTTGGCTTTGCTCGCTTAAATACAATACAATTTCTATTCAATAGGATACAATTTCTCCTATATGTTTATCCAAAATATAGATTTTTTGTGTATATATATATTTTTTATGAACTTGCTTGTTTGTTATTTCCAACAATTGTTTCAATTTCATCCGGTAGTCTACTTCAGGGGGCATACAGCGATTTGCGTTACAGCGTCTCGCCTCGCACGTTGATTTTTTACTACTTATAGAGGCATAAGACTTATTCTTCTGGAATAACCGTCCATCGTCCACCATTTTAGTGAATTTTAATGTGGCCACGGTGCTGTTCATGTATTTTTTACGTCAACCATTAACTGTCCATTGCTGAACATAGCTTCCCCATAAGGGGGGTTTTGCCAGTAGTTGCCACGCTTGGCAGGTGGATTGGCAATAGCATGTATAAATGCCATAAATGCCACTTTCTATCAGGTCTGGCAGCCCATCAGCTTTATTGCCATTCTAAATTGCATAAAAAAGTCCTAAGTCTAAGAAGTATATATGCCACTTGCATATAAAAATTTAAATCAATTATAAAAAAACATTACCCCCGTTTGTAATTCAGATAATACTATCACATGTGTGCATTGCAAGGTTTATAGGCTTCCATTCAATACTGCGGATCGTTGAGTATAAAGAGAATTGACAATTCAAAGGCCCCAGTGATATACGCGTAATCTCATTGAAAGCAATGCAGTAAATATACGAGTACACTTGGTGGAGTATTGAAGAGTAACAATCCAATTTCAGGTCCTTATGAAGTATTCCCATTACAGCTATTCCCATCAGTGGTAATCCGTATTGTAAGATGTTTTTAATTGCATTACTAAACCCGCCTGTGTCACCGTTATACGCTGACAGAGTACCGGTGAGAGATGATAGGTAAAAATGAAGATAGGTCAGTTAACTTATCGCGATGAATTCACCAGGAATTGATCACAATGGCTTCCAGAGGACACAGGTCACGGTGCTCTCAAGTCGAGCTGATCACACAGTCAATATGCCCCTGCTAGCAATAATGCTGATAATTTCTATTACTAGCAGTCTCTTTCTCGTCCCGTACCTACCGGCATCTGGAGACATCCAATACTTAAGGACATTTGCCACTTAGCTATTAGCTCTCACTAGTG